TTGGATTGAATTATCGATTGGCCTTATATCATATAACTAATATATAAAACTAAACTTTTAGCTAGACCACGAGACAGTGACACTTGGCTTTCTAATTTTTGCCAAGTGTCATGCCAGGTTGGATAGATTTAGATAGACTTCAAATGATAAAAATAAAAATTAAAATAAAATAAAATTAGCTTAGAATTCTATTTTCAATTAAATTTGGATAGAATTTTAGGATAAAATTGTTAGTTTAGAGTTTTATTTTCGATGAAATACCAATATTTCAGATGTACAAATTAAATTGAATTATAATTTTATTCAAAATAAATTTTAGATTATAATTCTATAAAATAATCATATAAATTTTTTTTTATACCATAATAATTTTTGGAGTGAAGAAAGTAGTTCAAAACGTAAAACATCCATTTTTAATAAATTAATCGGTTAAAATAGTATACTTCACAATCTAATATAATTTTACTACTATGTAGACCTATTGTAGACACCTAATTGTGTCTCCTCAAAAATCAAACCCAGTGATGAATATATTTCACGTCATTTGATTATTAAACAAGGTGAAATGTGAAAATTCTTGTGTTGCGGTTATTCTAATAAAAATACTTCTTTTTGTTTTTGAAAATATTTCTTTTCTTACTCTATTTATGAAAACGTCCAATTCCATTTAGTTTGGTCCATGATAAGGGTCTAATAATGGTGTATTTAGATCGGTCTTGAAAATACTTTTCCAACGATATATTATAAGCCAAATTCCGATGAATAATGAGGAAGTAACGGTGAAAATACTAAACTGGGCCCAAACCAGATTTTACCTACGACCCAATGGTCATGTGGAGGGTCCAAAGGTTTAATCACATTCCTAAACTAATTAGGATTTATTATAAGCTTCTATAAGTTTCTAAAAGATTTTAATTTCTTCTTTTTGATAAGATCAAAGAATTCGAAATTGAATAAAACTTCTCTTTTTGAGAGTCCTTGTCCGGTGCGAAATGGAATATGTTCAGATATTATTTTTGTATCTCATAATTTTTATCCAAATCTTATATTTATAGATAGATCTTGAATTTATCTTTCCAATGATATATTATAATATTAATTCCGAGCTAGAACAAAAAAGATATGAAATAAATACGAAACTTTATCCAAAACTAATACCCTTCCACTATTTCCATCGTATTTTTTTATCTACAAACGATTTTAATCTGATTTCAATTGTGTTGGAAACTAGACTTTAAGATCCTTCTAACGACATATTATATGACTTATTTGAACGTCTGTATCAAAAGATATGTTAAAAACAAAATCCACAAAAAACTCTCCCAACGCCAAACGACAGGTCTGTCGCACGGCGACAAAAGCTATTGCGCACGACAGCTCTGCAACAAAACCAATTTTATTCCGATTCGAATTCTAACTCTTTTCTATTTTTTTCAGACTATTTTTCCTATAAGTAGGTTCCTTGGCCTCCGTTTTCAAATCATTCACAATCATCATCTAATTTCTATTCTTCTCTCTAAAAGCTAGAAGTTTATTCTCTCTCTATTCTTTATCTAAACCTTCCCTCTTACAAAATTCCGCATACGCAAATTCTAGACACACCTAGCCAAGTTCGAAATTGTCTTCGCCCTAGACGTGAAAGGTTTATAATTTCTGAGGGTTTTGGTTTCAAATCTCTATTATTTAAATTAATTGTTTGATTTAATATTCTCCTTGAAGTTACTAACGTGTGTATTTTTTTATTAGAAAGAGATACGAGGCATCCAAGTACGTAATTTAATTACTTTATTATTCTTTTGATATAGAAATCATGCTTTGATTATTTTGATTCCTAGTATCATGTTAGAATGTCTTTATGATTCCTAGTATCATGTTTAGGGTAATAACTAAAATTTCTAATATCATGTATGTTTATATGATGCTTCCTATTCTTTCTTTCTATCATGTTAGCATCATATTAGGGATAAAACTTTGATCTTTATTGTTTAGTAATATTCTAGGATTTATTATTTATCTTGTTAGTATCATGCCTAGGATCTTGCTTTTATTTTTATGCTTTATTAAGATTATGATAACTGTTATTGTTGCTTGATATTATTTTTGTTATTGCTTGATCGCTCCTTTCATGCATGCTTAAAGGGAATTTGTACTTGTAGTCATGCTTAATAAGATAATTAATAATCTTGTTTATGTTAATATGATTATAATTCAAGTGATTGCCAATAATAGATTTGTTTGTGCATTAATATTCAACCAACATAGATAAACAGGTTTAGGGTTAACCTATTGATTGTATGTTAGTTTAAAAGCGCACATGAATATATAAGAAGAATAAAGTAGAGGCCTATTTTTAGGGCAAGTTCAATCTCTTTTAGGTTGGATTTGTACCTTCATCCCGAAATATTCAGTCATGGTTCCAGAATACTATGGAGTTAGCGATCTCATGGATCATGAAGGGATGTAACCTTCACCCTATGAACGGTTTACAAGTTCCTAAAACTTGTTGGCGACTTTTTACTCTAATTTTCTTCCCTTTGGACGCCACCATTCTTAAGTGTATGATCACAGTGGGGCTCAAGTGTGGGATGTTTGAAATATTCCCACACCTATCAACCAGCGTTGGGTCAGGTTATGAGTCATCTTGGGTCGGGTCATTCAGGTTACGGGCCAAGAAATGTTCAACCCTTGCCCAAAGTTTTGGGTTTGACGTGCTTTAAACATTTTTTTATATATAATTTTTTTTTTGCTAGTTTTTTAATGTATTTAATAGAACAATGTCATCAGTATTATTATTCCTAGATAGCAAATCGTCACAAAAGAACATCAATTGCTAACTAATTTTATATCAATATTTTAAAATTTGACATATATATATTAAAATTTAATAAACAACCCGTGCGTCGCACGGGGCACAAAACCAGTATAATTAATATATAAAGCTAAACTTTTTTTTCAAATCATGATACAGCGACACTTGGCATTCTAATTTTCGTCAAGTGTCGTGCCACGTAGACAACAATTAAATAATCGTATGACACATAAGATTTATTTGGGTACATTTTTTATAAATAAAAATGTTGTATTTTTTTATTAGGATAAAAACTTAGAGAGATTTTGTAGGATAAAAAAATCTAAGTTAATTTTATTTCAATAAAATTTGGATAGATTTATAGGATAAAATTGTTGGTTTAGAGTTTTATTTCCAATAAAATACCATTATTTCATAGGTACAAAAATGAATTATAAGTTTAGCCAAACCACGAGACAGCAACTGTCATTTCAACTTTTCACCAAATGTGCGCTACATAGACAACAATTAAATAATTTATCATATATAAATTTATTTTTATGTCACAATTTTTTAGGAGCGAATGAAGTAGTTCAAAACGTAAAGCATTCTTTTGTAATTTATTCTAATCAATTGAAATAAAATATTCACAATCAAATATGATTTTATTACTGTTTGTAGACCTGTTAATCGAGTCGGGTCACGGGTCATTTCGACTAAGTCAATGCTCGACCAAATTAAAGTTTCGGATTTGGGTTAACCTAATAGGCTATAAAAAAATTATTTTGACTAATTTTTAGAAATTTCTAATATTTCAAGTTTACTTTGCTATTTTTTTTAAACCAAATATTTTTCACAATTTAATTATTAGTTGTCATTACATGCCTACTTAATAATTTAAATAAAAAATTATCTTAAATTCAATAAACTAGTCGGGCATCACACAGGGCACCAAACTAGTCACTAATATATAAAGTCGGTCTCGCAGCCAAGCCACTGCACAAAACAGCGACTTAGCATTCCAATTTTCACCAAGTGTCGACCCACGTAGTAGATAAATAGGTATTAATGTGACACATATGATGATAAAAAGGTATTAATGTGACACATATGAAAAATACACATTAACAGAAAAAATCTTTAACAAATATATAATTTCCCTAAAAATAGTTCTTTCTCTCCGAAATTCAATTTTTCTAATAATTTTAGTTCTCTCTCTCTATAAAATATTTTCAATTAAAAAAATTTAAAATTTCATTTTCAAAATAATATAGGTTAGAAGCTAGAATATAAGTTATAATGTGAAGAACATATAATTTATACCCGAAGAACACACCGATCAAACTTAAAGAACATACGATAATAAAATAAAATTTAAAAAAAAAAAGAAATTTTGTATAGAACTACCCTAAAGATAGGGTCATTTATGAACAACTACCGATTTTTTTTATTATTTGTTTAGAACTACCCACAAGTTTGAAAACATTTGAGTAGCACTACCCATTAACATTTTCCGTCCAATTAATACGTTATCGGAGCCCACTTTTTCACTTTTTCCACCCAATTAACTCTCCCATATTGTATAAAGGTTTTAATTTACCTTAATTAACCTAATTAGGGTTTTAATTAGAATTCATTTTAGGGTTCATGAGTTTAGTATTATTTGGGGATTTTGAATTCTAAGGTTTGGGAGTTTAATTGAATTGGGGTTTTGCTTATTTTAGCATTAACTGGCCATTGTAATTGATAAAAGTGAAAAATATAGCCAAAATAATGTTTTAATTGGACGGAAAACGTTAGTAGGTAGTGCTACCCAAACGTTTTTAAACTTATGGATAGTTCTAAACAAACAAAAAAAAAATTAGGTAGTTGTTCACAAATGACCCTATCTTTAGAGTAGTTTTACACAAAATTTCCTTAAAAAAATAGTGCGAAACTCATTACCTCAAAGAACACACAAGTCAAATTCAAAGAACAAACTTTATATTATTCAAACCCAAAAAACATGTTTAATCAACATATGTTAAAGAATATAAGTATAAAAGAACGTATTATCAAACATATATACGATATGTTCTTTATCAAACAAGCGTATGTTCTTTCGGGTGCACCATGCAGGTGTACTATCCTATTTTCAGAGAATTAGTAAAAAAAAAAAATACAATTTAAAGCCAACAAGAATAAATTCAAGTCAATACATTCACGAACAAAATTACAAAAAGTACACTACTATTTAATTAAATAAGCGATATGACACCGTACGTCTAAATATCCTACATTACCTAAAGGGATTGTATGTGATTCAAGCAAAAAAAAGTTTATATTGAAACTTTATCAACAATCTGAGCATCGCCCGGGCACAAAACTAGTTAGACAATAAGATAGAAGTTCTTTACTAATTTACTCTTGGAACAAATAAACGCAATTATACATTAAAAAAAATGATAATCAGTATGTACAAGAGTAACAAGACATAGCTATACACCAACTTAATTATGGATCTCTGAAATACAAAACAGACGATCAACTTGAGGTCGTAGGTTTCTCATGGTATGTAACATTAGTCTCTCTGTCTTCCTTAACCTTGCTTGCATTCTCTAACCTCGAGTTCGGTCCCCCAGATCTCTCACTCAACCAACCTATGATGTCGTTAAAGACGGTGTTGATGTTTTCAGGGAATTCACCATAGGTTAAAGCATGCCACATTCCCGGATACAGCTTGAAGGTTTTGTCGAAGCTCATGGCCGACTCGTGTAGAATCTTGCTTATTTCTGGGTCCGTCACTTTGTCATCTCCTCCATGAAGAACTATGAAGGGTAATGTTACCTTTGTTTGAATACAATGGGGTTAATCACAGGTCTATTTCAATGCCAAATTTATTTCAAATTCCAAGTATCAATTTTTTATAATACTTTCTCCGTTTCTATTTAGTTAACGCGTTTGATTTAGACATATATATTAAGGAGAGGAGAGAGTGAAAGAGAATGAAAAAGCAAGTGAGATACCTTGTAAATGCAAGGTAAAAAAGTTACTCCAAAAGAAAACGTGTCAACTAAAAAAAAAATTCTAAAAAGGAATTATGTGTCAACTAAAAAGAAAGAGATGTAATATTTATTTGTAAATAATAAAAAATTTAGAGATGTACACTAACAAACAAAAAGTGATATTACTATATTAAATAAAAAAAAATAAAATAAGTTTGAAAGATTATTTTTTGCCACTAAAACATTTGAAAAATACAATTTTATGACAAAATAATGTTTATCTAATGATATTTTCGTAAATAAATCAACATGTATCATTTTACTGAGATTTTAATTACTTTATTTTTATAAAAAATGTCATTTGATAAACGATTATTATTTATCATGATGGTAGAGTGGGGCTTCCACTAATAGATAATACTCGTAATAGAGTAATTTGGGGAAGAAACACCGTTGCTACCAAAAATTATTACGGAGTTAAAACTATCTTGTCAAAAAAATGTTAAAAATAAATAAAGGGAATACAATTATGTGTGTATACCTCGTTTAATCGTTTCTCGAGATCCATGGAAACAGAAAAGAGCTGTTCAGCTGTTCTCAAGCGTGGCCTTCCAGTGTACCAATATGGATTTGACCTCACCTATTAATTTACATTGATAGTGTTAATTATAGCATGCATTTTGTGGTAAATTTGAAGTAGCTTAGTTTTATTGTACGGAGTAAAATGCTTTCATATTATATTTTCTAAATAACATTAAAAATACTTTGTACAATTGGAGTTAAAGGTGTGTCCTAACTCCTAAATGCATATTATTGTATGAGGTAACACTTACATCATCAATGACACGTTAAGATTATTCTAGATACGACTTTGTATAATTGTGTTTATATGAATTTAACACATTCATACCTAATTTTTTTAACTGAAGATAGCTAGTACTTTTTTTCCTTTTATGTGTGGCTATATCAATGAGAAAGTCCTAATACATCACCGTAAGACACAAACAAAAATGTATAACAATCTTTGTACTATCAAAAGTCCTATTAGTACTATTGAGATGATTTTTTTCAATACTACTTAGACTGTCTTTTATACTACTGAAATAATATATAGTATTGCTAAGAATGTTTACTACTTACTAGTAATATATTGTCTCTCAGTAGTACTTTTAAAATATCAATATTTACAAAATTGTCATTTTTATGTATATGCTTGTGCCTAAATGTGAGGTCCTAAAAAGCGCTCATTGGCAATAGAGCTCTCCAATCCATGTGTTGGAGGTTTGATTCCTCACAACCTCACATTCCTATGATAGGGTGGGGAGGCTACTCCGTCAATTAAAATTAAATAAAATAAATAAATAAATAAATAAACATTGGCAATAGATCAGAGATGCCAAGGACTCAAAACAATTCCATATAATCTAGTTACTTAGAATGATCTAATTTACAATTTAATCTGTATGGACACAATGGTCATGTTTGGTAATTGGCTTTTTAATGGCTTTTTGGTTAGTTTTTGGCTTTTGGCTTTTTTACGTGGTCAAACAGCCCAAAAATGTGTTTGGTAATTGGCTTTTTAGTCAGCGAAAAAGTTGGCTTTTAAGCCACAATGAAAAAACTGCTTTAAGTAGCTTTTTTGTTGGCTTTTGACTTGTTGGCCACAAATTATCTAATAAACAGCCAACAACCAACAATTAATTTACCAAACACTTTTATAAACAGCCAATTTCAAAAGCTATTATAAACAGTCAAACATTCCAACTGGTCAAACAAGCCAAATAAACCCGCCAACCGCCAACAACCATTTGTCAAACAAGGCCAATAACTTAGAATGACTCCAATTCAAAATGACCGAGTAGAATCTGTTGGGTTCCAATGGAAGACCCAGTACTCACACATCTAGAGTAATTGCCTAATTGGTAATTAATGAACAAAGCAATAAAAATACCTCTTTTTTTCTCTCAGGATCTCTAACTGCAGCTTCAATGACATCATTGCCAGGAATAAGTTTCCAAGTGGGCACAATGTATGAAAGTTTTGTCAAACAGCTGATCACAAATGGACTTGGTTTTATATGGTCAGCAATCTGGCAAGTAGTAACAAATATATTAATAAGTAATTTCCCTTGAAAAAGAATAATTATAAATAAATACAAGTAATTGATTCAAGGTGGTGTATCAAAATTATGATACGTAATTCTTTTTTTTTTCTTTTTTTTTTTGTGGGACCAAGTGATTTTACCTAATTTAATTTGTGACATAAATTTAGGTGAAAACATCAAAATCATGCATGTCTTTCTAGCAAAAAATAAATAAATAATTCACGCACCAAACTCAAATGTAGTAAGGAAATAATCATATTTGAATTTAAAACTTAATTTTCTTACACAAATTTAATATATATTCTATAAAATATTATAAAATTTAATGTATAAAACTAAATATACAATTATTTAGGTTCTGTTTAATTCACCTTATTCTTATAAATAATTATTTTATTAACATTAGATCAGATAAACTTAAATAAAAATAAATCCATAATACAATAATACATCATATAATAATCCATAATTAAACCAGAAATTTTCAAATTAAATCAAATCAAAACTTTTAAATTTCAAGTCAAAGCAAAACTTTAAAATTTCAAATCGAAGCCACTAATTAATTAAATCAAAGATAAAATAGAAAAAACAAAACCCTCATGTTTAAAATCTTAATGAGTAAAAGTGGACCATCATTTTCATAAATTAATATAAAGTGGACGGAAAGGCAATTTTTAAGAGAATAGCATGTGGAACACTAATCACAAGAAGAACAAAGCGTGTGAAAGAGAGAAACATCACGTACTTTAAAATTTAACTAATTAACTAATTATTGTGATTAGAAAAATTAGGACAGAGATTAGGAAAATTAGGAAAGTGATTAAGAAATTAGGAATAACATACCTTACACATGGGTGCGACTAAAATGGCGCCATCCCAAAAGTCTGGCATTTTTCTGTGCAAACACAACACAACTGCTCCTCCCATTGATTCGCCCATCAAAAACCTTATTTTACTTTTATTCTCTTTTCTTTCTGCACCATCACAAAACACCAATTTTTTCAATACTCCAAAATAAATTTAATCCACACATTTGATAATGTAAAATTTCAACCAATATTTTTCAAAAAATATACATTAGGTTTATTCTAACAAGTACCTTCACTATCTATAATATGTATAATTATAAGCACCAATGAAGATCACGTGATATATGTTAATAATATAAAAGTCAAATTAAAGCATTTATTTGTAGTAGATGATGTAATAAGAATTATTATGTTTTCTTAATTTTAATTATTTTTATTTCGTATTTTTCCTCCTTCAAAATATATATTATTAAGAAAACATGACAACTAATGAAAATTAAGGTCAGATAATAAAAATTCTACTCCATATAACTCTTAAGAAAAATAATTCAGAGAAAATCAGCAAAAAAAAATTCACAAAGCTAAAATTAATTATTAATCGATAATTATAATTTAATTATAGTTGAAAAAAAGGTGAATAAAACAGAGTTATAAGGTAAGGTTAAACCAATATTTTTTTTTTAATAAAAAAAAGTCAAAAGCAGTAAACCAAATTTTTATTAAAAAAAATTAAATAAATGATATAGTTGACTTGGAAATAGATACGGTTTATAAGGACTTTTTAAACTCTTCACCAAAAAAAAAAATATGGACTTTTAAACTTCAAAGAAAACTCATCATATACTAATAATTAGCAGTGATTCCTTCCTATGTGCATGTATGTTTTAGTCAACACCGTGGAAACACTTCTAATATGCACTTGAATACTTGATGGCTAAACATTGAATAAAAGAATTAAAATAGAACTAATCTTAAGCAATTTGACTTTTATTTTAACGAATCTAGTCCTTTTTGTGACAGTTACAGCTAGTTGTCCTTGTCACTTTCTCCCAAACACAATTTTCTGAATAAATCATCGTGTTACTTAGTCTAATCTATATTAGTAATATGATCGCTCTATTTCTTTTTGGCGTTCTTATTTTAATAGTGTGTATTTATCAATGAACATTTTTATATAATTTCTCAAATTACGTATAAGTGAAATTATAGAAAAAAATCATTTGATATTTTATGACAACACAAATTAGAAAAATTAAATCTCCAATAGTGAACACATTGTTGTAACAATCTATATAGGAACATTTAAAAAAAAAAAAGAATATTTTAATGGGTTTAATGAAAAACCCTTAATTACAACTCTCTACTTAATTTCTAATGTGTAACAATGTAACATGCCATTTTGTCATAGTTTTTGCTAAATATTCTCCTATTTTCTTGATGCAAAAAAGCTAATTAAAGTTAATTAACAACTTACCACAAACTTTGGTGAAATGATCTGAGCAATCTTGAACAAGATTTTCAAAGCTTGGAACATAACCTTGAAGCCCTCCAGATTTTCCATGTCCAACAAAATCAATCCCATAAACACCGTAACCAGCCTTTACGAGACGCGTCGCCGGCCCTTAAAACACATCAACAAAACCCATTAGACCATACTCGTAATCAAACATCTTAAAAATTCATTATTAGCATTAACCAAAACAATATAATATTAATCACAAATTAAATGCACAAAGTTTAGAATTAATAATAATTAAAGAATAATAAAATACCTTGCATGGAAATACTACTTTCCATGGCATAACCATGGCATAAGAAAACAAGAGCTTTAGGATCCTCATTTTGTGGCAACCATCGACATGTATATAGCTTCAAACCGCTATTATTTACTATAAACTCCTGCAAAAAGATTTTAAAAAAATAACCATAAAAATCATAGGATTCTTAATTATAAACTTTACATTAGGTATAAAAATAATTAAATATATGCTAATGACCTCTTCAAATTTGACATTAGAACCCATAATAAAGTAGAAAGCAGAAGAATTGGGGTGGTGAAGATAGTATTAAAAGTACGAGATATATATAGAAAGAATTAAGAGGAAGAAGACGGATTTGAAATTAATTTAATTAAGAAAAATACAAGTTGTGATCTTTTTTTTTTTTTTTTTTTTTTTAATGAAATACAAGTTGTGATTAGGAATAATAAACAATTGTATTATTGTTGATAATAGAGATGCGAGAATGTAGGGATATTTTAAACTAGAACGAATTCAAGGGAAGAGAGGGATTGATTAGAAATTAATCTATCTTTAATTATCTTACGTATCTGATTTCTAATATGTCATCCTCATGCACTACATATGATTTAATTAATTATTTATTTATGATATGATCTTCTGTACAATAATTGATTGACTTTCCTTTTTGGTTCGGTCTAAAATCCGCGATTGTTATCATCCAAAATTGAATAACGAATTGTTCAACCGAAAATCTTGTGTGGAACTGATCGACAATAGTCCGGCTACGAGATAGCGATAGTTGTCGTTTTAACTTTTCGCCAAGTGTCGCGTCACGTAGGATAGATTTATATAGAATTCAATTTGTAAGATAAAAAAGTTAATTTAGAATTCTATTTTCTATCAAATTTGGATAGAATTTTAAGATAAAATTTTTAATTTAGAGTTTTATTTTCGATAAAGTACCAATATTTCATATGTACAAATTAAATTATAATTTTTTTAAAAAAATAATTATAACTCTCATAAATTATTATATATTCTAATCAATTAAAACAATATACTTTACAATCTAATATAATTTTATTACTATGTGTAGACCTGTCAATCGGGTCGGGTCACGAGTCATTTCGGACAGAGTCATTATTTTAGGTTACGGGTCAAGAAATGTTTTTCACCAATGTTATTATTATTAGTCATTACATGCCTACTATATAGTTTAAATCATCACAAAAACACATAAATTCTTAACTAATTTTATATCAATGATATGTTTTAAAATTTGACATATAGATTAAAAATTTATCTTAAAATTCAATAAACAACCGGACATCGCCCGGGGACAAAACTAGTATTATTATGAACCTTAAGTTTATACACACGTTACTAGCATTATATTCAACATAGTAACCCCTAATTTTAATATAGTAATCTTATTTTTAACATATTAACATTTTGTTAAACTTGTGTGACCTTTAATGTTATTATGAATATAAATTACGACATTATGTTGAATAGTGACCTAGTGATCGTTGTTATTCATATTGACCATTATATTAAAAATTTCTTTAAAAAAATTAACCTGTTATAGCTTTATAATATCACACTAACTTTTATTTCAACATAATGACCTTTATTTTAATATAATAACTTTTTTTTTTATAAATAAAATAATTATATTGTCTCTAATATTAGTGGTCCATAATAAATTAGTGTGAACCAGATTTATTTAAGAATTTGTAATTGTTCTAATGATGTCATTGTAAACACAAATTTTTATTTTATATACTAGTATAATAATATCATGATGAACTAACATATAAAATTTCCATGCCTACAATCATGTCACTGAAATTCTAGCTAAAGGTGGCTAATAGCCTAATATAGCGGTATGGATTGGGTTCAAGTGACTTCAGTTTGGGTCATATCTAAGTGATTAGTTACTTGCTTGGTTTTTAACTACATCTTAAGCCCGTATATAGTAACTAATTCTATGTTCCTTTTTTTTCTCTTATTTGACTTTTCACGATCTTCAAGATATGTGTTTAACTTTATTCTGTCATAAAATACATAATACTGTCAACATTGCACACATACTAATGCAGTATTTTGACTTTATTTTTATATAGTTAAATATTACCTATTCATAAAGTTTCATAATAAAATATTACCTATTCATATTATATTATGAAACTTTATATTATGAACACCTATATTATGAAACTTTATATGAATACCTATCTAACAACATATTTTATAATAAAATATGTTTTTATTACGGAGTATGTTAATTAAAAATATATGGTCTTTCTGTCAATATATATATATATATATATATATATATATATATATATATATATATATATATATATATATATGAATCTTTTACCAAAACGCCTAATTATGAATTTTAATTCCAAAATTAGCTATTTCTTTTTCTTTTGAACCAATTTTGTTCAGGGTTCACTTTATTGATATTTTTTTAATTTTGCTTTTTGGTTTTATTTTAATTTTGTTTTAGGATTTTTTTTTAAGTTGGAAAATTTAACGATATGCGGAGTATAAATATACTAATTTTTTCGGCTAGATCGTATCATTTAAATTTAAAATTTCAAGTAGTATTGTTCTATCAATACTACCGCAAATTTATATAACGATAAGGGTTTTTAAGGTATTGTTCATCTTTTTCATGCCTATAAATTTTATACTTTTGTTAATGTCAGCTAACTTGAATATTTTTTAGTTTAACGTGTATAAAAAATCAAATTTACGCATATTGATACATTATGGTAAACAATGAATATGTTCTTAGTTTTTTTTTTTTTTTTTTTTTTTGTTAATTGGAAATTTGTAATAATTTTTTGAGTTTGTTTTTCCCTAATTTTTTTTTAAATGTTGTTGCACCTTTGAACAAAGTAGAGCCTCCAAAGAATTATTGCAAATATATTATGTTGAATGTTATTTTCCAAAATTAATGGGATTTTTTGTTTGGTGCAAAAGAGGGGAGAACCCCTAACAAAAGAAAAACAAACTAACATAAATATTAAAAAAAAAATCACACCCTCCGAAAAACAAGCTAGCTACCCTCTCATAATTGGATATCTTAAACTATGGCATTAGAATTTCCAAAAAAAAAAAAAAAAAAAAAAAAAAAAAACCAAAAATTAGAAGAAAAAAATAGCTCCCATAAACTTTTTTTTTTTCTTTAAAAACTCCCATAAGTGAACCAAACTAGCTCAAAGGAAAATAAGAAATAAATAATTTCCTTCCAAATTAATAAGTTAGCTAGTTTTGGAATTAATATTGATAAGTAGTCGTTTTGGTAAATAGTTTTGTAAAAGTAGTCATTTTGACAAAAGATCCTATATATGTATAGTCAAAGCTAATGCATAAATAGTGGGAAAAAAAGTTCAACATCTCAAAGGGTGTATATAATGAAACAAATTAAATCAAACAAGATATCGCATGATTATATTACCAATTGTAGAATAATGATAATTTATGGTTATAGGTTTCAAAGGTTAACTCAAATTTTGACAATTGGGCAAAAAAAAATAGGGTCACGAGAGTAATGTATAACCAATACTAAAGCTTAACTTAAATGTTTATTGTTTAATGGTTCGTTAAGTGATTTAAGTCCTACTCCGTACTATTCTCTATGTCACTTAAAAATGTATGTCTTATCTATGTCGATTACGTAGTACTTTGGACCAAATACAAACTTCTTATTACAATAATTTTCAAGTTGATATGGCTGAATTTAAAGCTAGACATCTACTTTGAACAAAGTTCAAATCATTTTGATTGGTACTTTCATTCATATAATTGGATAAGGATTAGATATATCAAGCATGCATATCATGACTATTTTGGTAGCTACTTATCATAATTAATGACAAATATAATACGAAATACTCTGTACTATTTCAATATAACAAATTAAAATGATATATGCATCTATAATTTTATCAATGGCAATGATGTAATCATGTAAATAAAAATCTATGATATTATTAATATTTAAGGGATAACATGTTATTGCTAAATCAGGTTTATCCAAAATTAATAAGATGAATTGCCTCTTAACTTTGTCAGTGTTTAAATTTTGTTGGACATTCATGAGTACGTGTTGTTGGGAAAACAATACTTAATGGATTAGGCCACTCATTAAGGGTATTAAACACAAACCCGATCGAACCTAATATGATTTGATTCAGATTTTGACTCGTATAAAAATTAGAATATTAACATAGCTCAATTTTGAAATATGCTCGACTTGACCCGACCCGACCTCACCTCACCAAACGCTACCCAAGTACTTGAATTGACAGCTCTACCCCTCGCTACGAAGTCTGACCAGAATTGTTGAGATTCTTTTGTACCTAAGCCTAAATACTTGTATTTAAGTTTGAACTATAATTAGGATACGTGACAACTTCTATTCTGCCAAACTAAAAGGTTCCTTATATACTTCCGTACCACAACTACTAGAATTTTATTACGGCAATAGAAGCTAATTACGTTGTACTAGACTACTATTACAATTAAATACATGGACTTCTTTTGTACTTTGGCACTTTAATATTTGCTCTTCACTGGTTATGATTTACTCGGTCGATTAAAGGTTATTCGGTTAAATTTACTCGGTCAATTAGGAATCACTCGGTTAGTATTTTGGTGTATGTCAGTTTTGCCCACGATGTGGCCACCACAAAAAAAAAAAAAAAAGCGTTGAAATATTCTTATAAAACCAAAATAGTTTTTAGGTATATAAAGTTGGGGAAAATTTGCAAATTGCAGCCCTTTAAAGTTCGTATTTTGCAAATTGCAGCCATTTAAAATTTTTTTTGCAAATTGCAGCCCAAAAATTCGTATAAATTGTAAATTGCAGCCCGATTCAATTTTTTCATTGGTTTACATGTTGAAAAATCTTCGGTTAAGGTTTTAGGGGTCAATTAAACCCTTAGGGACCCGAGTTGAGCTCGGAATTAGCAAAAAAAAAAACGTAAGTGTCTCATATTTACAGTTTTCCACAAATCGATACATTTTTGTTACGCAAAACGAGATACTTACGTTATTTTTTTGCTAATTCCGAGCTCAATTCAGGATCTTAAGGAATAAATTGACCCCTAAAACCTTAGCTGAAGATTTTTCAACATGTAAACCGATGAAAAAAATAAATCGGGCTGCAATTTACAATTTATACGAACTTTGAGGCTGCAATTTGCAAAAAAAAATTTAAATGGCTGCAATTTGCAAAATACGAACTTTAAATGACTGCAATTTACAAATTTTCCTAAAGTTGGAGATGAACCAAAAAAGCGCCGAAATATTTTATAAACCAAAATTTAAGGGCTTGTTTGGGTTTTATTTTAATTGTCATTTCCATCAATATATAAAAATAATATGTCTATCAAATATTGTTGAATTTGTCTCATTCTATATTTTATTATTAATATAAAAAAAAAATTATGCTTTTTAAGCTTGGAGATGAATAGGTTTTAAGACATATCTTGAATGTACTATAAAAAAGTTTAATGGGCAAAATAAGGGAGTTTGAGTACTTCGTAAAGTAGTTCTGACGTTCGTTGAATGTTTGAGTCTAGATGATTGTGATTCGTACAA